TACAACTTTGGCGAGCAACCAACCAATGTCTGGTTCGCCTTAAGACCCATTCCATAAGAATAAATCTGTACCTGACGCTGCCTGGGTAACCAAGGACCAGAGACCAAAATGATCCAGGGGAAAACCAACTATAACTGCTCAATGAGTAAGCAAGAACAAAGGCTTTTTAATGATATTCTGCCCATAATTACTTATAGATGATACAGATGTTATCCAGTCATCATCAGAGAGGCTTTCTCTGGCGGAAGATGAGTACAGAACAGATGCAGAGACCTAGACCTTATGTGGAAAGAGACTAAATGGAATGTATCCATCAAATATATCCCTTCAGAGCTCTAGAAACTCATCGGAAGAGGAGGAGAAACAGTGTAAGAGCCAGGAGGGGGTGGAGGATGCCAGGAGAATAAGACACTCCAAAGCAAGTAAGCAAGACACATATGAACTCACAGAGACTGATTCAGCACAGAACCTACACAGGTCTGCACGCTGTCCTCAGCGGGAATATTATAGCTGTTAGCTTAGCGTTTTAAGGGACTCCAGACTGGAGGAACAAGAGGATCTCTGACTATTGTGTCTGCTCTTGGAACTCTTTTCCTTCTGTTGAGTTGTGGTGTCCAACCTCATTATGATAGTTGTTGCTTCATCTTGTTATATTTTATTTTGTCATTAACACCTAGAAGCCTATTCTTCTCTAAAGAGAGACAGAAAAGGAGTAGATTTCCATGGCAGGGGTTTTGGGGAGGAACTTAGAAGAGCTGAGTGAGAGGAGACTAAGAATATGACATATTATATGAAAAAAATATATTTTCAAAGGCCAGCCCTCCGCCCTACCACACGGTGCGGCTGTAAACACCCAGAGGCCCACCCACAGACATGACACATGGTGTGGGCTGGGGAAGATGCCCAGAGGCCCACAGGCTGTGGCCTGCGTGTGCAGCAGGAGCCATTGCAATGTGCAAGTGTGTGGTGGAGAGATGGAAGAGAACAAGAAACAGAAAGGCTTGAGAATTATGAAGAGAGTCGGAACTGGTGACATGAGGGTGGAGAAAAATAACCTGATGTCATAGGCTGCCCTGCCACCTGAGGCCAAGGTGAAGTCCCAACCAGCGCTGCCCTTGAGGGCCATGTCTGGGTCCACGGCCATGCAGCAGGGGTCTATGTCAACATCCGTGGCTCATATTACCACTAAAGACCATGCGGACACCCCTGGTGTGGGCGGCTGCCAGGGAACATGTTGATGCCCAAGGACTGAGCACAGCTGGCCATGCCCCTGGGTGGCTCTAGCACTCCAGAGAACAGGCAGGCCTTCCACCTTGCCAAGACAGCACAGTAGATCTGGCCCTGGTGGCAGGAGCTCAGGAAAGCTGACCCTGCCCCTCATCTGCTGTGAGGTGGCTCGGGCTTGGGAGAGATGCCCACCTCCACCTTGACCCTCATCACATGTGGCAGGCAGAGAGATGGCTCATAGGTCGTGAGAGGAGGAGAACTGGGTCTGCCCCTCACTGGCGGCTGGCACTGCACCTTGCCTGTGCAGCAGAGTGGAACTGACCCTGGTCGGGGGTTCAGGTGAGCTGGCCCCAATGGCATGTGTGCTGGAGAGTTAGCCCTGTCATTCATCTACCGAGTGCAGAAACCTTGAACCAGACCAATGACTCACATAATGAACATTTGCAAGTAAAGATTTGTGAACAAATGGGTAGACTTTGGGACACATTGTGACACACTACAGCTTCCACAATGAGAAGTTTTATGCTTTGTTTTGGGTTTTGTTTTTTGTTTTTTGATTTTTTTTTTTTTTTTTGAGAAAAAGGTTTCAAGGTCAGAGGATACAAAGGGAAGAACAGATGAGTGGAATTGGAGTAAATGAGGTGAAAAACATTAATGATCAATAAATGTCTTTAAAAATCCAGAAAATACTCTTTGTTTTCAATAAAAGGTTAAAGATGGTTCTTGAAAGTGATAATGGCATTGACAACCTTTAATTAAATTAACTTTGTTTATTTTATTTTATTTTTTTCTTATCAGTTACATTTTATTAACTCTGTATCCCAGCTGTATCCCGCTCCCTCATTCCCTCCCAACCCCACCCTCCCTCCCTATTAACTTTGTTTTTAAAAGATTGACATTTGTAACAACAGAATTGAAATTTGGGACTTAGGTGTCCATTTTTCAGAATACTAAACTTTCCATGAGCATCTGATAGTTATTTTCTAAGTATAGAGTGACTTACATGAAACAGACAAATTCCTAGAAGCCCAGAGCCTACAGAGATGGAAGCATGAAGAAACAGGATCAAATCAATAAAGACATTTGACACATGTGAACAGTTTTTAATGATGAAAAAAAGCCAACCTAGGGAAGGGGTAGGAGACCATGTCAGTGCAGTGGGGCGCACGTGAACACCCACAGCCAACCGGTACTCAGTGGGGACACCTGACAACTTTCTCTAAGACCAGGATTGACATAAGGATGCTGCTCTGGCCACTTATGTTTAGTATTCTCTTAGAAGTCCTAAACAGAACAATTAGACAATACAAAGAAACGAAAGGTGGCCAATTGCTCGGCTGTAAAGTATTTCTTCAGACGTCATGAACTTATTTTAGAAAATCTTAAAGATTCTAAAGAACTTTCCGGAACTGGTGAACAAGCACACCCACCTGAGATCTACTTCTGTAAACTAATATTAGCCACGATTAGCTGTCCCTTTCTGTCACAAGCACAGAGAGGCCAAGTAACAAGGAAGACTCAAGAAGAGATGATGGATCTACCTGGGAAAGGAAATAGAGTTGACTGTGGGTGAGCTGTGTGAGTGGAAATGAAAGCAGAAGGCAAAGAGGGGTATGGAGGCAGGGAGGAAGGGAGAATGTACTTGGAGAGACTGGAACTGGGGAATGTTTTAGAAACAATCGGGAAACCTAGGGCAAGAGAAACTCCTTGGAATCTTCGAGAGTGACCCTAGAGAAGACTTCTAATAATAAAAGATATGGAGCCTGAACCGGCCATCTTCTATAATCAGGCATGGCTCCTAGCAGTGGCACTGGGACGCCAACCCAGAAACAAAACTTTTAACCTACAAATCTGTCCTGCCTGCAAGATGTGCTGGGGCAATGGTGGCAGAGAGCTTGTGGGAGTGGCCATGGGAGGGAGCCAATGCCTGACACTTCCTAGATTTCTAAAAAGCAGGGAATGGACAGTCCAAAGATTCAGTACAGAGCCAAAGATGCCTGGAAGAACATTAATGAAACACTAATGATATTCTGCTATAGTCATAGATGGGTTCCTGGCCTAACTGCCATCAGAAAGATCTCATCCAGCAACTGACGGGAGTAGATGCAGTGGCACAGCCAAACACTTGGTGAGGCCAAAGGAACCCCATAGATGAGAGGGAGACGGTTCATAGGAAGCATAGAGGTCAAAAACACAATGAGAACATGGCCTCCAGAATCAACTAAGCAGGGCTCGTAGGGGCTCACAGAGATGGAAGTGATAATCACTGACCCTGTATGATGTGGGGATCAGGAACCGAGGGGAAGAGGGATGAGTGGCAACAGAGCCCACACAGAATACCGGGAATCAGACTTGGGAGACCAGACCCAAAGGTGCAGATCTAAGATTATTATTCACTTTATCGGCCTTTAAATGATTGAAAGGTAAATCAGACTATCCCATGCTAGCCTCAAGCAACAGTAACATCAACCAGGTTGGTGCAGCTATAAGGACTTGTGGGAGTTGGGGAGTTGGGGGGGGCAAGGTCACCTTAGGAGACTTCCGTAAAGAAGGGGAAGCAGTCACCTACATAGCCTCAGATCCATTTTGAGACTTCACTAGTGTGCTAGGAGTCCCTGGTGAGCGATACTGTGTGCAGTGAATCAGGACCTTTTGAGGAATCTTAGAAGCCACTGAGGCCTCACTTGCCTTTCCCTATGGGCCTACAAAAGACTTTCCTCAACATTTCCCACAGTATGGGTCTAGACTAGGTCCTCTGCATGTAAATTATGGTTATGTGGCGAGGTGTTCTTGTGGGACTTTTAACAATAGGAGTGGAGGATGTCTTTGACTCTTTTGCCGGTTCTTGGTACCCTTTTCCTCCTACTCAGTTACATGACCCACCTCTGATATGAGGGTTTGTCCCTAGTCTCACCTTAAGGTGTTATGCCATGTTCTGTTGAAATACCTGGGATGCCTGCTTTTTTTTTTTTTTTTTTTGAAGGAAAATAGAAGAGAAGTGGATCTGAGGGATAGGGAATGTAAGGATGGGGATGGAGAGGGCTGGAGGGAGAGGAAACTATGGTCAGGATGTAATGTATGAGAGAAGAATAAAAAAGAAATACATATTAGCAGGAAAAAGAATCATGTCCAAGACCCCAACATGAATGTGACTCTGAGAATAGAAAACATAGAATCAGGACCTCTAGTGTAGATTTTACATCTGTGCATCAAAAAACAAACAAACAAAAACAAAAAAACTGAGAATCAGAACTATTTAGAAACCAGTTATACCCACAATTAAACATGGGCAGTCCTTTCTCCTGTCACTCTTCCTCATTTCACAGGATGGCTGGTGTCTAGTCCCCATTAATGTTAGGTAAATTAGTTAAACATGGAATGTATTTTAGCATATGAGAGGATATATTTATCTCTATGCAAACACTGCACTATTTTTAAAGCAGAGCATCCAGAAGTTTGGGGGTGGGGAGTCCTGAAATTTGTTCTCACAGATTCTAAGGGTTGCCTATTTAATCCACATCCACCCTAAGCTCTTAATGCCTTTGAGTTACTCTTTACTGTATTGGTGTCTTTGTTTTCCTTTGAATTCTTTAAATCCTGGCTTATCTTTGCACACATGTATGTCCCAGAATTACAGGCATGACTCACCATGCAGTCTGTACCTGAGTAGTAACTGATAACTTTTAATACATAATTTTCCTCCATGTTGTACCCCTATCGATAAATAAATGCAGGTGTTATTCTGTAGGATGAGAGGAAGGGTCACTGATTCATCACGGCCACCTGACTGGGTAACTGAACTTTGCACCTAGTCGGTTGGTGACAAAGCACCGATACTCTCCTGCATCCTCTGACGTGACATGATCTATTCTGAGTCCGCACTTTGTTGGGGACAGTGTCGTCCTTTCTGTGAGCTCCAGATGCTGGTTATTGAAGAACCAACTGATGGAGGTTCCAATGTCAGATGACACACAGGTGAACATCACAGATCTGTTTCCTCTGACTGTAGTGTCAGTGATCTTCACGACAGGCTGTGTCACAGGCTCTGTGGAAAAACAGAGGAGAGGAAAAAAATGGCATTACTCCTTCAAAGAGCTTATCCCACCTCTCTTCAGTTAATACTGAATAAAGCCTCCAAAGGGGAGAACTTAGAGCTGTGACTATAGACCTAGCTCATGGTTTTATCTGTCACCCATGGTCTGGGTGACCCCAATTCAGCCACTGTGTTTCCTTTGTCTCAGTTTCCATATATAATAGGACACACCATAAATGATCACTGCTGTGTCTGTGAGTTAAGATGAGGCGTGAATGGCCTGACCTTGGGATGGGGGAGCTGCTTAAATCAGCAGCATCTTTTACTATTTACCAGCAGAAGGCATTTCCTTAGGCTGGACTCATGAGGAGAAGGTGCTGCCTGTAGTAACTGGCTCCTCCCCTTTCTGCTACATGGACTACGAGCCATGTAAGTTTCCCAAGGCCATCACCTGTTCACTGAGACTCAGGAGATGGAGACACATAGGTGACCCACATAACCGTAGCTATATTGGCAGCGCGTAGCTGCTTTCATACTTTATGAGACTTGGACACTTAGTAGGGACTTGTTCTCTGTCAGCTCTAACAGGACAGGGTTTGGAACCAGGTTTATGTGGTATTCCTCCTGAGGACACAGTCCTCATGCAATGTCTGCCTGACTCCCACAGTCTCTCTTGGGGACATGTGCATAGGGAGAGCGCCCAAGAGGCTGCCTGAGGCTGACGTCCTTGTCCTGAGTTACCCCACACACATTCTCCTCTGTGGAGGTGGAGACTGATGTGGGGTTCTGACTGTCTGCAGTCTGACTACCCAGTGTTCCTACAGTAAGTGCCCAAACCCCAGTGTGGAGACACAATGCCGTGGGGAGAGCAGGGGCAGCCCGTTCCTCACAGTCCAGTGTATGGAGTAAGACAAGGCACACCCAGCAGCCAGAGGCCAGAGTCACTTACTGTTCACATAAAATTGAACATGTGCTCTGTCAATTTTGTGATCTTTGTTTAAAACTTCTAGCGTGTACATCCTTGCATCACTTTGGGTGACATCCTGGAGCAGCAGGGATCCGCTGGGGTAAACCATCCCTCGTCCACTGTATTTATGCCCCCAGGTGGTGGTATTCCGGAGGCTGTTGTGTTCCACGATTTTAAAGGATGGCATATTATACATTGATTTATACCAGGAAAAGGCTTGAACGTCTTTTGGCAGATTATGAACAAACAGAAGAACACTTTCTCCTTCAGCAGCATACCTCGGCACTGGATCACTGAACACTTGGGAAGTGGTGAAAAGAGAGGCTGGAAGGGAAAAGAGAAAACACCATTACATGAGGATCCCAGTGCCTGTTGGGAAGATGGTGACCTCCATCCTGAGCGGACAGACTCTTCGCTCGGCATGGAGTTGCGCTTGTGGTCCGTCTATCCTACATGATGAAGGTGAGCAACGCGAGCTCCCCATTCCCTCAGTGCCCCTGGAAGTGTCACTTCCTCTGCTTGGCGCTCTCCCCTCAAGTGTCTACATGGCCAGCCAGCCCCTCTCTGCCCTCAGTCAGACACCGTGCACACTCAAGCACCCTGTTATGAGGTGATGCCTCTCCTGAACTCTACAGGCCCAGATTGTCACTTTCTGTGTTTTATTTCTTTGTTTTGTTTGCTTTTTGTTTCCTTTGTGACTCCAGTCAACCCCTGACTTCGCTTTCTAGATGTTCTTTCTGCTCCTCTTGGTACTCCATAAGCCTGAGGTTTAATGAGGGCTAGGAGCAATCTGCTCTCCACTGAAGGCTCAGGTCTCAGAAAAGGCTAAGGTGTCAGGCTGGCTGGTTTTATGTCAACTTAACACAATGTATAATTCATGGGAAGGTAAGGCCTCAGTCGAAATGCCACCAGCAGACTGGCCTGTGAGCAAGCCTGATATCATATATATAATATATACCGTAATATTTGTATATCAATTATATATGTATAAAATTGAGGGTTGATGCGAGAGGATGCAGACCACTGAAGCAGTTTTACTGATGGCCAAGGGTCCCTGGGTCCTGTGAGAGAGCAGGCTGAGCAAGCCATGAGGACCAAGCTGGTGAACAGCACTGCTCAACGGTCTCTGCACCAGTTCCTGAAGTTTATTTATGACGCTCTCAATTTGGAGCAATAAAACTGCAGTTTGACATGGCCAGCCCCAAACCACTGTTCCCTGTCAGCTTCAAGAGGAAGTGAGACTGGAGGCCTGGAAACATGTTCCCTGCATCCCTTGAGTCCACCCTTGGAGGGATGGCAGGGTTTGGAGGCCCTGACCTAGAGCCCAGGAGTCTGACATGTGAGGCCGAGGTGCTTCCCATCAAGCTCCTCCTTGCTGCAGGCAGAGTCAGAAGATGGAGTCTGCTCTGTGCCATTTGTCTCCACCGTGCCTGTCCTACACTAAGTGTTCAAACCTCCCATGGGGACAGGGTGCAGAGTAGAGGTAGCCACAGGCCGGGCATGACAGTTCTGTGTGTCTGAGCCCCACCCAGCACTGAACAACCTCAGAGAGTCACTTACTGTCCACCTGGATTTCTACATGCGCTTCTTCACTTTTCATATCTGTACCAAGAACTCGTAGGGTGTAGAATCCAGCATCCTTTTGAGTGACACTGTAGAACAATAGGGATCCATCGCTGAATAAGTTCTCTCTACCGCTGTATGCAGGCCCCAACACAGCTGATTTCCTGGCTAGTATGTATCGGCCAATCTCAAGGTCCTTGAACACAGTCATTCCTTTGAACCACACAAAGCTGTGAATGTTCTCTGGGAGATTGTGAACACGCAGAACAACCTGTTCCCCTTCAGGAATGATGGTCGGCAGTGACTCGATAGTGGGCTGGGCAGAGGTGGCAAGGCGCCCGCAGTTCCAAAGGAAGGCTGGAAGGAAAGAGAGAGAGATTCGTCTCAAGCGGGACCTTTCTATTTTGCTAAGAGGCGCCATTGTGTGCATTGCTCAGCCTAACTGTGTGCGCGTCCTCCCATCCTGCTTTGCATGCCTGCACTGTATTTTCTTTGATGCTCTCTCTTCAGTTGTCAGCACGGTTCTGGCTCACTGCCCTCAGATCCTTGCTCACTCTAACGTCGATTTGTGCTGGGGTGATGCCTCCTCACTTCTTCTATGCTCACTGTACCTTCAACAACTATTTTGTTGTTCTGTTTCTCTTGTGGTTCCTGTTAACACCTGACCAACCTTCTTGCTTTCTTTACTGATCTGTCTTCCAGTCCACTTGAACTGGGGCATTGTGAGAACCATGATTTGTCTTACATATTTTAAAAAAATGCTAACTAGAAAAAAAAAAACCCGAGACAATGGAGAATGAATGAATGAATGGTATTGCCTGTGTGCCCACAGGTTTATTTAAGAAAGCCTTAGGTTTGTAAATGCGGTATTGAATCATTCTATTCGCTTTGATTTTTTTTACACATGTTTACAAATTATATTTGTGTGTAAGTCTGAAGACAAGGACATCTCTCAGTGTGGATGAGTGAGTGAAAGACACAGAATTTAAGTGGAAGTCAGAGGACAACCCGTGTCCGTTTGTCCTCGGGTCACCCGCTTAGAGTTCTGTTTGGGAAATCAAGCAGAGGCCATCCGTCTTCAGAACATTGTAGTTGTGGGGATTAACTTTGGATAAATACCATCTCCCCTCCCCTTAATTTTTCTTAGTCACCAAGAGCCTCGAGCTGCTGAGCCTCTGTCCCACACTGTTTCTTCTCTCCCATAACTCCAAGTCTCCTCTCAGGTCCTTGTCCTTCTTGGGAGACCCTAGACAGTAGGTGAGTCTTCTGCTCTCATAGACTGTAATGTCAAAAGCCTTCTCATCTGTGAGCCGGAGCCCCTGAAAGATGTACAGAATTTACAGTGGACTCCAGAGAGTGCCCCCCGGTCTCCGTGGCCTGATCCTCTTGTCCTCCTCTCCCTGACCTGACTATCCTCCCAGGAAGGACACCTCCAGTAGTCTCACAGTCAGTGTGTGGTTCTCTGTCAGAAACACTGCTCTTCCCCTTCTCCTCCCCGTGCTGCCTCGTGCCCCGAAGACTAGTGAGCATCCCTGAGGCCTGAGAGAACAGCAGATGACCCTGGGCTATCCTGTGCTGTGTCCTGGCCTTGGCCAGTCAGCACCAAAAATGAAAACTCTGTGCTCCCTCTGTGACATAGAAACCCAGCTGTGTACGCGGTCTGCACTGAGTTCTCAGTGCTCTGGAAAGACGGAATTATTTCTCAGCGGGAAGGTGACAGAGATCCCTATGAGGCTCCAAAGGGACCAGCTGAGTGACTGTAGGGAAGGAAACAGATCTGTTTTCACTGTGTCACCACTCAGGCTTTGGACCAATAACAATGGTCTGGGGTGTGTCAAGAGTCTCACATCCTAAGGTGACCTGCTCCTTGAAAAAAAGGCTAGGAGCTCTTTCATCTCACGCAAGATTTCAAGAGAAATCTTGGAGAGCTCCCAGTTTTTCTGCTTGCTGATCTGTGTAATGGGTCTGCTCCTGTGCTCCCTGGCCTTTCTCAGATGTCTTGGACTAGATCTTGTCTAGTGGATTCCTCTTTGTTATCTTATATTTCTCAAAGGAAAAAAGAAAAACCTAAGAGGTACTAGAACATGATCTTTTGGCAGTGTAGCAGACACATTAAGCAGTCAGCAGGTCTGAGAACACCATGTCCAGGGTTTCCATGTGTTAGAATCAGGGGTGGAATCTGGCTACTAGGTACGTTGGAGGTTCAGGAAGTACTTTTCTTCGTGTCGGTTGTGTGTCCCAGGGCCGCCCCTGGTGCTCACTGGGGGAATTGCAGCCCATTTCTGTGGCGCTGTCAGATCAGCAGAGCCTGTTTCTATTTGCTCACAGCAGAGAATCCCCAAAGGACAAGCACTTGTCAGAAAGACCTGTGTCCCTTTTCTTTTCCTATGGTCCCTGACATTCCTGTTAAGTCTCATAAGTCTGTCAGGATGGTAGTTAATGGACCGGGCATCTGTCTAGCTGTGCTCTCCCTGCTGATTCAAGGGAGAAGATGGCCAAGTAAGCTGGCCTTACCGCGATTTTCACGGCAGCGCCCTGGCTGTTCCCACACAGCACAAGACTTTGACTGCTAAAACGCACTGTTCCCTGCCAACAGGATTTCAAAATCCAACCAGAGTAAAATTCTTGTCAGGGCCGTCAGAGCTGAGTCTGGGACAGAGGTCTGAGCCAGGATTTCCTGGTACCCACGTCAGTGAGGAGTCCATGTCTTCCTCAATCAGGCTGACCTTCCTCCCCAGGGTCTTTCCCAAGGACACACATGCCTGGTGAGATCGCCAGAGTCTGCACAAGGCCTGATGTAATTGGCTGACTTACCGGTAACATCATGTGACCACTTGTCCGCAAGGTGAAGTCAAATGAAGGATTCTGATGTATTGCCATTATCATCCATCATGAGTCTGCATTAAATGCCCAAAACCCAACATGGAAACACAGTGCGAAAGGGAGATGGCACGTGCCATCCCTGATGCTCTTGTGTGTGTGTGGTGGAATGAACCCGACCCAGCACCCAGGATACACAAAGAATGACTTACTGTTGACGTGGAGGTAGGTAGATGTCACTGACACCATTTCTACTTGTCTATTGAAGGTTCGGAGGGTGTAGTATCCCGTGTCCCCCCGGGTGACATTGTCAATCCGCAGAGATCCGTTCCTGTACATGCTCTCTTTGCTGCTGTGTACAGGCCCCGGCACACTTACGTCAGTGTTCAGTGCATACAGTACAATTTCTGTGCTCACACTCGTCGTCGTCCCTTTGTACCAGGCCAGGGCTATAAGATTCCTTGGAAGATTGTGGACGAGGAGAAGGACATTTTCTCCTTCCACAACTTGAGGTGGAACTAATTCAATGATGACGTCGGCAGTGGTGGACAGGTGCCAGCAGGTTAAAAGGGAGGCTAAAGGAGAAGAGGGAGAAACACATCAATAGTGAGCGGGTGTGCTCATCACTCAGGTTAGGTGTGTGGGTAGGCTGTACCCACCCTCCTTAGTGGGGGCCAGCAACATGACCACCGTTCTTTCGCTGCCTGTCACTCTGGACTTATTCTCTCAGGAATTCTGTGCTCAGTTGTCTGCCTGGCTGATCACTCAGTGTCCTTATTTTGGTGTGAGAATGCTTCTCTGACCTCCTTCACTGCAGGGCGCTCACTTTGTGACTTCTTTCTCTTTTCTCTTGGTGGCACCAGGAAACCCCTGACATAATCTTCCAGATAGTCTGACATGTGCTCTACTATGACCAGGGCTATGTGGGACATAGAATTATCTGACCATTTTCAAAGGTCTAGCTCCTGGAAAGGACTCAAATACCAGTTAATAAAGGAAAGAGAGAGGAAGGAAGGAACAAAGGAAGGAAGGGAGGGAGGAAGGAAGGAAGGAAGGAAAGAAAGAAAGAAAGAAAGAAAGAAAGAAAGAAAGAAAGAAAGAAGGAGGGAGGGAGGGAGGGAGGGAGGGAGGGAGGGAGGGGGGAAAGAAAGAAAGGGAGGAAGGAAGAAAATATGTCTCCTTGGGTTTCTCTCCATAGTTCCCAGGTTTGGATCAGGAACTGTTTTGTACACTGTTCTGTACTTTATCAGTTTTGGAACTGACAGCGATAATTATACTCAAGTGTGATTTAAATGGTTTTCCATTTACTCAAGTACTGCAATTGTGTGTTTATGAGGGCAAGTAGCTCAGTGTGTCCATGTGATGGTGCATGCCTCAAACCTGTGTGGAGGCACATGTCTCACTGTGAGCATGTGCAAATGCATGCCACAGCACCTGTGTGGAGGGCACAGGGCCAGCAGGATTCTATTCTCTCCATCTACCCTGTGGGAGCTGAGGATTGAATTCAGCTTGTCACGTCTCCACACTGAGCCATATTGCTGGCCCACCCCTGTTTGAATTCTATTTGGAGATTCACTCTATCATGGTTAGGAGTACCCAGTCTTCAGAACATAGCAGCCAATGTAATTGTCTGTGAATGTGGGATACTTGAGGCCTTTTTCTATCCTCATAACTTTCTGTCCACTAGGCTCTTCTGACTTCTGAGCCTCTGTCCCTCAACGTAGCTTCTGTCCCATGAAAGCAAACAGAAACCCCAAGTTCCTTCTTGGACACCTGTCCTCTAAGCACCTCTGCACCCCCACTGTCGCAGAGGTGGCGCCATTACCTGTGAGCAGGAGCCCCTTCCAGGAGGTACACCCCTTGCAGGGAAGCAAAGAGGATGTCATCTGTCTCCTCACCGTGCGGTCCTCCTTCTGAGAAGATCTTCAGCTCCAACCCAGCACCAGTCTATGCTGCTGTACCACCCTCTGAGCTGAGTGTCTTCTCTGGCAGGATCACTTCTCAGAATCCAATGAGCTGTGAGTGATGGGGTCTGTCTCCAAGGCACTGTTCTGTACTTTAAACTCTCAGGGCTGCCCTGCATGTCTCTTTCTGTTTGTCCTCCAGGCATCATGTTGAGCAACAAGGCAAATAAGCATTCTCATGCCCTCAGAGAAAACCAGCTCATCCCAGGGCTGACATCTGCTCTGTCTGCACCTTGGGTCTGTCAGCATCCATGAGGGAACCTCCATCATGTCTAAGTGTCTCTATGTCTTGTAGAGACACAGCTGAGCATTCAGTCTGTTCTGTGTTCTCATTGCTCTAGGAAGGATTTCTTTACTCCCAGCAGAAAGGTGACAGAACAGGCTGCAAAGACAGCAACTGACTGATGATTGGGGATGATGATCAATCCTTTATCAGTAGTTCTACCAGTCAAATTTCTGATCCAGGAGAAAAGCCCAGGAGTAGTGTGGGGGGAATTTTATGTTGCAGTATTGGGAAAAGGTGACCCGTTCATCTGGAGAGAATCATAGGCTCCCGCTTCCTTTGAAGCATTTCAAGGCAACGGTTCAGCATTGTGTGTTGGCTGAGATGTGTCTTGGGAACGTGAAGGTTTTTTCTGATCTTCGTAGCTCACCTTCGTAGCTCACCTTCGTAATTTGTCTAGGTGACTAACACAGTGTCTTTCCCTATGGGACACACCTGAAAGGAGGGGACTTTCAGATTCCCCAGACAGAGGGAGGATCCAGGAAATCAGAGCGAAGTCTTGGGAGAGAGCTACAGGTTAGTAGGGACAGGGATGAGAAAACAGTCTCCTAGGCAAGGTCATGCATGTCTCAGGAAACTATTTTCTGGTTGTTGAGAATGTATCCTGATATGGCCCCCCTGGTGATCACTGGGGGAAATGAAATCCCACGTCTAGGGCTACAATAGGCATGCTCAGGAAGTCAAGTTTGTTCTGCCCTGATCTCTTCAGTACAGGTGGGATTCAGGGCCTGCCATCCAGTTCAGTGTGCTCTCTAGACCTCTGAATTCCATCTAAGGTGGGTGTAAACAGTGTTTCAGATCTTTTCTGAGAAGCCCTGGATTAAAGTTGGAAGAAGTGAAAGAGATCTGCCAGAACAGACCCAAGGATCATCCAGGATTGAAATCCCAATTTCAATACCATGCCTAGGGTTCCAACCAAGATACATCCATCACAGAAGAGCTGGGATATTCTTTGAGTTCCAGCCTCCAGCCCAAGGCTCCACAAACAACCTGAGGAGGGTTCCCAGGACCTCTTTGGCTTCTTTGTCAAAAATTAGGTGTCCACACATGTGTGGGTTTATTTCTGGGTTTTTGATTTGAATGTATTGATCTACCATTCTCTTTCCATGCCAGTACCATGCAGTTTTTATTACTGTTGCTTTATAGTACAGCTTGAGATCAAGGATGGAGCTACCTCCAGAAGATCTGTTACTATACAGGATTGTTTTAGCAATTCCGGGTTTTTGTTTTTTTCATATGAAACTGAAAACTGATCTTTCAAGTTCTGTAAAGAATTTTGTTGGTATTTTGATGGAGTTTTCATTGAATCTATAAATTGCTTTTGGTAGGATGGCCATTTTTTTCTGTTAATCCTACCAATCCATGAGCATGGGAGATCTTTCCATCTTCTATTACCTTCTTCAGTTTCTTTCTTCAGAGACTTGAAGGGTTTGTTTTGTTTTGTTTTGTTTTTCATACAAGTCTTTCACTTGTTTGGGTAGAGTTATACCAAGATACTTTATGTTATTTGTGGCTATTGTGAAGGTAGTTTTTCTTTCTCAGCCCTTTTGTCTTTTATACACAGGAAGGCTTCTGATTTTTTTTTTTTGAGTTAATTTTGTATCCAGCCAATTTGCTGAAGGTGTTTATCAGCTGAAGGAGTTCTCCAGTAGAATTTTTGAGGTCCACTCAGGTATACTATCATATCATCTGTGAATAATGATACTTTGATTTCTTCCTTTCTGATTTGTATCTGATATGTATCTTCTTGATCTCCTTTAGTTGTCCTATTGCTCTAGGTAGGACTTCAAATTCTGTGGAGATTTGGAGAGAGTGGGCAGTCTTGCCTTGTCCCTGATATCAGTGGGATTGATTTAAGTTTCTTCGTGTTTAGTTTGATGTTGGCTATAGGCTTAATTTGTATTGCCTCTACTATGTTTAGGTATGTGCGTATGTCGTTGATCTCTCCAAAAATTTAAGCATGGTCAGGTATTGGATTTTGTCAAATGCTTTTTCAGCATCTAAAAATATAACAATGTGAGGTTTTCCCTTCAGTTTGTTTATATGGTGGATTACACTGATGGATTTCCATATATTGAACCACCCCTGCATGCCTGGGATGAAGCCTATTTGGTTGTGGTGGATGATATCTTTTAAGTGCTCTTGGATTTGGTTTGTGAGTATTTTATTGAATATTTTGTGGCAATGTTCATAAGAGAGATAGGTCTGAAGTTCTCTTTCTCTGTTGGGTCTTTATGAGGTTTAGGTACCAAGGCGACTGTGGCCTCATAAAATGAGTTTGGTAACTTCTGTTTCTGTATTGAAGTTAGCTCTTCTGCACTCAAATCAGGGCTTTTTTTGGAAAGGAGACTTTTGATGACTGCTTCTATTTCCTTGGGGAATATAGGACGATTTAATCTATTTACCTGATCTTGGTTTAGCTTTGGTAAATGAAATCTATAAAGAAAATTGTCCATTTCATTTAGATTTTCAAATTTTGTGGCTATAGGCTTTTGATGTAAGACCTAATGATTCTTTAGATTTCCTCAGTGTCTGTCATTATGTCTACCTTTTCATTTCTGATTTTATTGGTTTGGGTATCTATCTACCTTTTAGTTAGTTTGGCTAACTTGTTGATTTTCTCAAAGAACCAACTCTTGGTTTCATTGATTTTTTGAATTGTTTTCTTTGTTTCCAGTTTATTGATTTTAGCTCTGAGTTTCATTATTTCCAACTGTCTACTCCTCTTGGGTGTGTCTGCTTTTTTTTTTTGTGCCTAGGGCTTTCAGGTGTGCTGTTAGGTTGCTTATATGAGATGTCTTAAACTTCTTTCTGAAGGCACTTAGTGCTATGAACTTTCCTCTTAGCACTGCTTTCTTTGTGTCCCATAAGTTTGGGTAACTTGTGCCTTCATTTTATTGAATTTTAGGAAGTATCCAATTTCTTTCTTTATTTCGTCCCTGACCCAGCTGTGGTTGAGTAAAGAGTTGTTTAGTTTTCATGTGTATATTGGCTTTTGCTATTTCTGTTGTTGTTGAGATCTTGTTTTAGGCCATGGTGGTCTGATTGGATACAAGAGTTTATTTCAATCCTGCATCTGTTGGTGGTTCTATGAGGTGCTGAGAAGAAGGTATATTCTTTTGCATTTGCGTGAAAAGTTCTGTAGACATCTATTAGGTCCATTTGATTTAGGACGTCTGTAAATGCCATTATTTCCCTATTTAGTTTCTGTGTAAATGATCTGTCTTTTGGTGAGAGTGGAGCTTTGAAGTCTCCCACTATTAAGATGTTGGGATTGATATGTGATTTAAGCTTTAATAATGTTTCATTTCTGCATATGCTCTTGTATTTGGGGCATAGATCTTCAGGATTGTGATGTCATCTTGGATTTTTCCTTTGATGAAAATGAAATGTCCCTCCTCCTCTTTTTTGACTAATTTTGGTTGAAAGTCTATTTTATTAGATATTAGGATGACTACTCCAGCTTGTTTTCTGGATTTGTTTGCTTGAAGAATATTTTTCCAGCCCTTTACTCTGAGGTAGTGTTTATCTTCGTTGCAGAGGTGTGTTTCTTGGATGCAGAATGTTGGATCTGGTTTCTGCAACCATTCTGTTAGTCCATGTCTTTTTATTGGGAGTTGAGTCCATTGATATTGAAAGATAGTAGTGACCAATGATTATTAGTTCCTTTTATTGTGGAGATGGTGTGCTTATTTTCTTTTGATTTTTGTTGTTGTTGTGAAGTTATCTATATCTTGTGTTTTCTTGGGTGTAGTTGATTTCATTGGATTGGAGTTTTCCTTCTAGTATCTTCTGTAGGGCTGGGTTGCTGTGTATATATTGTTTAAATTTAGTTTTGTCACAGAATATTTTGTTTTCTCCATCTATGTTGATTGAAAGTTTTGCTGGGTATAGTAGTCTGGGTTGGCATCTGTGGTCTCTTAGTGTCTGCATGACATCTTCACAGGACCTTTGAACTTTCAAAGTTTCTGTTGAGAAGTCTGGTGTGATTCTGTTAGGTATGACTTTATATGTTACTTGGCCTTTTTCTTTTGCTGCTTTTAATACTTTTTTATCTGTTCTGTAGATTTATTGTTTTGACTATTACATGGCAGGCAGAGTTTCTTTTCTGGTCTATTTGGTGTTATGTAGGCCTCTTGTATGTTTATGGATATCTTTTTAAGTTGGGAGAATTTTCTATGATTTTCTTGAAAATGTTTTCTGGACCTTGGAGCCTGGAATCTTCTTTTTTCATCTATTCTTAATATTCTTAGATTTTTATCTTTTCATGGTATCCTTGATTTCTTGAATGTTTTCTGTTTGGAACTTTTCCAATATTACTTTTTTTTTGAGAGATGTATCTGATCTTTTCTCTAAGCTCTCCAGCTCCAGGGTTTTCTCTGTTTGTGTTTTATTTGTTCTAGTTCTTTTTTGATGTTTTGCATCATTTCCTTCATCTGTTTGAATTTGTATTCCTGTCTGTCCATGATGGTGTCTATTTTTTTGTTCATTTCCTCTCCATATGCCTCTACTTGTGCCTCTGTTTGGCTGTATATGACTGTATTTCTTTGAGAACTTCGTTCATTTCCTCTTTATAACTGGATAAGAATAGATTAAAATCATTTTCCTGAGCTAATCAGGAAGGAGAAATATGGCTAAG